TCCACTGAAGGTAACTATACCAATCAGCTATCAAACCTTGGAACCTACATACATACGCCTTGGTATCGAGACCGCTGCGAGCAAATTGTCTTTCAAGCGAAAATCACGGAAACATTACTTTAACACGTAACTTATTATACCTACATATATTAGGTCCTTACATATGAAGTTGGCATATTGTCGTACTGGCCACTTTGATCTCAAATATCTACTCTTCGGTTAGGAATTACAATTTCAAATTTATGCAGCTATTTACTCATGCATTTGTTTTTTGTAAACCGTAATCCATATGTTTTTTCCATGTTTGGTTATTTTTTTCTTTGCGTCACACAGTTTACAAAATGTAAAACTTACAATATCGCGTCATTTACGAGCTCGAGTTCCGCCGTTGGTACATACTTTGATTAAATAAATATTTTATATTATATTTTGACTAGGTTTAGGTTACTCCCTTACAAAACGCCAATTTAATACGTTAGGACCTAATATATATTTTTTCTCTTTAGCCATAACTTACATTTTACTTCAATGTTAAATATATATATATATATATGTACGGTGTATATACACCGTACAGCAGTGAGCATTTTACATTGCTCCGCGTCCATATAACGCCCACTCATACCATTTTCCCTTCAGTACTCACAAGCAAGCATCAGTCCACACAGTACACAATCATCGTGTACTCAAGATATCAAGTTGGAAAGCAGCCCGGACTTATAATTTATACATCAGCATCCAGATTGTGTGGGTCACAGCAGACTCATACATCTTTATTGTGTATATAAACTGTATCTTCTGTGAGAGGAACAACTAAGAGAATATAAAACTAAATAAATATCTATACACGGCATCTAATTATTCATATGATCGCGCGTGAAATAACGAGCCGTGTAAAGGATAAAACGACTGGTTTACAGGAAGTGCACATGTGCGCGGACGGCTGCAACTGTTACTGGAGCCAGGAGAAAGACAGCGGCGTCGTCGCCGACTGCTCGCACCGCGCCCTCACCTGGCTGCCGGTCATACCGCACCTCGTACTCCTGCACGCAGGCGGCAACTACATTCACACCGTCCACCGCGACTACCTCAACGACACCCTACTTGTGACTATATATATTCTGTATTGATGACAATGCAAAGCTGCACCCGCCTGCGCTGACGGTATACGCTGGCGAGGCACCAGTGGAGGATGATAAGACGAGCACGAGGTCAAGTCAGTTAGCACATCGTGTCGAATTCACCAGAAATTTGTCATTATGGTTTCCAGGGGGAACCGCGTGGAGGGCAACCTGACATGGGACGTCGCTAGCAGTGAGGTCATCAGTCCACATTACTAGCGGTCCCTTTTCCCCCGACTTGTGATCATAGTGCGACCCTAATATAACGTACCTCAACATTACCACTTCCTCCATTTAACAGATTCATCGTAATACCCTTCAATTGTCCATAACAGTCAATGGAAAATATACCTTTACATTGCGGACTTTTTTTGCGAATAATCTCTTTATAACGAATTTGTAACTATCAAGAAATAGTATAAATACCTCTAACTAATGAATTTTGTTTAACCTTAACTTACTGTACTTAGTATTTTTAAAATCACTAGTATCCTGACGACTTAGGCGTAATGCCGGTTAGTCAGGGAGAGAAACACCTCGATGCCTACAATATTCACAATTATCTATCTCTTATTTGTTTTTATAATAATATAAACACTCCAACTTTTTCGCTCCAAAACTCCTGCTGCCTACGTTCAATCATCCGTCATCACTTGTCAATGTCAGATTACTTTGGCTCTGGCCTCTGACGTTCCGTTTCAGGTTACATTATTATTGACTTTACCATTTTTAATTAATGGTGCGTCACACGATAGTTAACAGTATAGTATAGTATAGTATACTATAGTGTAGTATACATATAACGGATGGTAGTGGTGGAACATACCACCATGGAGTGGAAACCATGGAAACCATAATTACAACCCATGGGCATGCCAACCTCGCGGTTGTACTGGCCGAATCTGCGAGGAATGCGTGCTGAAAAGCACGGATTGTCTCGACACCTACAAATGATATCAATCCCTGTCTGTACCTCTGATCGCACTCTCCCGGACGGGAGAGGGCAGCGGACAAACATTCACGGCTCCGGTGCCTGGCAGCACTCCTGAACTCTCGCAGCCTCCTAAAATTCTCCTCCGAAGACACCAAGTCCGGGTAGTACACCGGACCCTCCCCTACCTTCACCGCGACGTTTCCCCTCCAGCAGCGACCCTCTTAGGTCGGAAATGTCGCAATAGAGCGAGCACTCCCACAATCCACAATTATTTACATAATAGTGAAACGTTTTATACACAGGAGTTGGACCTCCGGAACAATAACATATCGGCCATACCGGCGGAGGTGTGTGCGAGGTTGTTCTCTGTTCCCGAGCGGCTCGTAATGCTCGCCGGGAATCCGCTGCAGTGCAACTGCGACAACCAGCCGCTACTACGTGAACTCTTACACCACAGAGACCAGGTACCAGCAGTGATTACATACAGTACATACAGTACATACAGTACGGACATCGGATAGGATATTGTCCACTACACACAGATGGACCACGAGTAACCTGACACTGAGGGTGAGTCTGACGCAGCCGGAGTCGGGTCACAACGCGAGTTTCAAGTCGTTCGTGGCCCGGCTCCCACCAACGTGCTGCCCACCTTCATGAATGGCCGTCAGTGCCGGCAGTGCCGTGACCACATACGCTTTATATTTTATAATATTATTAGTATTTCACATGTATGTACTCGTACATATGTTAGTCTGTCTATACATATAAATAAGATTGGAGTGTCTCTTTGTAATATTGGAATAATCGTTTTTTATTACATGCCTATGAATATAAATGGTGTATACGGTACATACACCAAAATAACATTTTTTACAATTCTTGTCTGTCTGTCTGTCCGTTTATTCTGGCTAATCTCTAAAATGTCTGGACTGATTTTGACGGGACTTTTATTGGCAGGTAGCTGATGTAACGAGGAGTAACTTAGGCTACTATTATTTTAGAAAAATTCTCTAATTATATTTTTGTTAAATTCCACGCGGACGAAGTCGCGAAATGTATATATATGTAATGTAAATAAATGCGAAAGTAACTCTGTCTGTCGGTCTGTCAGTCTCGCTTTCACGCTAAAACTACTGAATCGATTTAATTGAAATTTGGTACACAGGTAGTCTAAACCCTGAGAGAGGACATAGGCTACTTTTTTTTTTTCGGCTCCAGCCGTAATTTCAATCCCCGTTTGAATAGGACGGGGATCTGTTGGAGGGGACTATTTAACACTAACATTACCATGTACACATGACTAGCTGGCCCGCGCAACTTCGTCTGCGTTTCATTTCCCCATCTTTTGCAATATTTGTCATTGCAGCTCCGCTCCTATTGGTCGTAGCGTAATGTTATATAACTTAAAGCCTTCCTCGACAAATGGACTATCCAACACAAAAATAATAATTTTTCAATTCGAACCAGTAGTTAGTTAGTTAGATTAGTGCGTTCAAACAAATAAACTCTTCAGCTTTATAATATTGGTATAGATAGAGCCAATCCAAAGACTAAACATGCGTTTTTTTAAAATGTATGTAAGAGTGATGACTTTTATCATGTATTTTCAGGTGGACTACCAACATCTGAAATGCGGCGACGGGAAGTTGCTGAGCACCATTGATGTACAGATGTTGTGTTTGATAGGTAAAGAGATATATAATACAAAAGAAACACAATTGCACCCCGTAAACATGGTACGAAAAGTGATCTGTATCGTACTGAGTCTGTTGTTGCTGACACTGGCCGCCGGATACGTGTACTCTGACAAATTGAAGGAATTGATACGCCTATGCAGGCGAAAGCTGTGCCAGTGCTGCATGAGGGAGTAGGACCTCCACGCAGTGATAGGGAGTTTGCGTACGAACTGTTGGTGCTTCAGCTGCTGTCTGGACCGTCCCCGTTCAAGCTGTGCATCCACATGGAGTGACCTCACTGAACCTGACGGCAGTGAGTGTACAAGGTGTGGGTGTGTGTGAAGTGATGTGCATGTGTGAAGTGTTATTACGGAGCCCGAGTAGACTACACATAGACTTTTTAGGGCCATTCCATAATAAAACATTGCTAGTGATGATAGATTCGATGTCAAACTGGATTGAAGCTTTCCACATGCCACGCACAATGTCTGGGGATGTTATTAAAACAATTATGAGTGGTTGATATAAATCTACTAATTTCTAGCCAACTTGCAATATGTTACTACCCTAAATCCTACTCCTATTTTTATCCACCAAATCTGGGGGTAGCATCAACAAAATGAGTCGTTCGTTGTACGTCGCGTCGAGCACACGCAAATCAGCATATTCTCCGCGAATCAACGTTAACGGAACCATCAGCCGCGATCTTCGCGCAATCATCTGATTAGTACATCATCCAGTGAAATTCATCGTAGTGTTGTGCGTTTTTAAAGTGAAACGGCTACGCGTATAATAAGACCTGCACGCGGGGACGACACGAACCAGGTTGGTCCTTAGTTTCTTCCCTTTTTTACCCAACATTCTTCATGGTCCTTCGTCCAGATCACCATCATTTATCTCAAAACCCATAAATAAATCATATTTCATATTATCACATAGATCGTATCATATTCATCTCATAATTTCATCAAGTATTCCAAGTCATTTTTCATTGTCATATCAACCGCCGTACATATCAGCCATTTTACTCATATTTCAGCTTGTCATTCATTCCATCAAATCAGTATCATTCATTGGTTGTCAATAAAGCTTTAAGCAAAAATCATAACTCATTGTTGGCAACACAGAACAGTAAGTTGTCAATCATAACCCGTCAGTATTAATTCATTCAATCAAATTGTTATTTTAACTTTTGTTTACATTTTAATTTTCGTATATCATTTAGGAAAATATTACATTATTTTGGTTTAATAACATTAAAATACAATGGCAAATATTAAAGCGTACGCCACAAACTGCGATCTGAGTTACAGAAACATGCGAAATGTGTATGAACTTGCAGGTAAACCTAGCGAAAATCCAAACTTAACTTCACAAGAGCAAGTTGGTTTCATGGTTCGATTTAAGGATATAGAACGGTTTAGGCAACAATTCGAGGAGGCTTTTGCTATTCTTATATCTAGTACTGAGTCTGTAAGTGACAAATCTCGTGAGGAGTTGGAAAACAGATATTCAACTTTTATGGATATGTTTTATTCTGTTCAAGTTTTGCATAGTTCAATACAAACAAAGAGTAACAATGCCAGTGGTTTTCAACACTCATCATCTAAATCTGAACCTGCCTTTCAGCTTCCCAAGATATCTCTAAATAGGTACTCAGGTGTGAGCGTGGAGTGGCCAAACTTCATCTCAATTTTCAACAGTCTAATTCATAAAAATGATAGTTTAAGTTCTGTTCAAAAGTTACACTATTTATTGAGTGTTTTGGATAAGGAACCACTCTCTTTGGTAAAGCATTTAGTAATATCTAGTGAGAAAATATCAAGTTGCTTACAATTTATTAACAGAACGCTATGAAAACAAGAGAGTTATCGCTGATAAACATGTAGAAGCAATTCTTAATTGGCCAAATTTAACACAATTAAATTTAAAAACTTTAACAAAATTCTTATTCACCATTAAAGAGAGCACTCAAGCTCTTGATGCCTTAAACATGAATACTAAATCATGGAGTTTTCTTTTACTTCATATAATTCTTAGAAAATTGTCACTGGATTTGAGAAGCAAATTTGAATCTTAAATTGACATTAAAACTATACCTACATTTGAGAATTTAATTAAATTTTTGGAAAATCAATTACATGTTTTAGTATATGTTAGTGCTTCTATACATAGGTCTTCTACTAGTAGTACATTAACAGTCATTGAATCCAACAATAAAAATAAACTTAGTATGATTATTTGTCCTTGCTGTCAGGATAAACATAGCTTACATATATTACTGTTCTAAATTTGATTCAATGACTCCGGAACAAAGAAAATCCTTTGTTTTTCAACATAAACTCTGCTTTAATTGTTTAAGAACTCATCATATTTCAAAATGCATTTCACAAAGTGTATGCAGAGTATGTCGTGGCCGACACCATACAAAGCTACACATCTCATCCGATCAACTGAAACCTTACCCAAAAGATAATGAAGTTGCTGTGTCGATAGTGGGTTCCATAGCTCAACTTCAATCTATCCATGGTGTTGAATGTAAATCCACTATGATTTTGGGTACTGCTATTGTCAGTGTACGAGATGTCAATGGATATTACCATTCAGCTCGTGCTCTCATCGACAATGGTTCTCAGGTTTCAATTGTAACTGAAAATCTTGCACAACAACTTAGACTGCCACGTTCACCGTCTAGCAGTGTTCTTGGTTTAGGTGCTTCATCAGCTCAGCATAGTCGGGGAATGATACACTGCAACATAAAATCTTTTATGGATCCTACCAAGACCATATCAACTAATTGTATCATCCTAAAATGCATAACAGGTAATCTCCCATCAGTTATGGTAAATAAAAGCATTTTAGATAAATGTAAAAACTTAGTCTTGGCTGATAACAACTTCTCAATGCCGGGAAAAATAGATGTTCTTTTAGGTGTTGACTGTTTTAATAAAATTATTGATGGTGAACAACGTAGCCTGGGTGAAGACATGCCCACTGCGTATTCATCCATCTTAGGTTGGATCATCATGGGCAAGGCTCCTACAGCATCGCAGCAGACTTGTGGTGTGGTCTCCATGGCCTGTACCACAGATATTAATTTTAACCTTTCAAGGTTCTGGGAATCTGAGGAACCTCCCAGTCAACCTATACAAGATCCTGAAAACATTATTTGTGAAAAACACTTCACTAACACTCACACAAGGGATAGCACTGGTCGTTTCATTGTGCGGTTACCTTTCAAAGTGGATCATAAGCCTTTGGGTGAAACACACACCACCGCCTTAAAGCGATTTCATAATTTGGAGCGTCGCATGCTTAAGGATGAGAAGTTGCATGAACTTTATGTTGCCTTCATGAAGGATTACGTTGAAGCTGGCCATATGCGTCAAGTGTCAGGTCCAGTATCAAGTGACCGATATTATATTCCTCATCATGGTGTTGTACGTGAACACAGTAGTACCATAAAACTTCGTGCTGTATATGATGCATCAGCCTCTAGCTCTACAGGTGTTTCACTTAATCAGGTACTTATGTCCGGTCCCAAACTTGAAAAAAATATTGAAGATATTATTTTGCGATTTCGACTCCACAAAATTGTCTTCACATGCGACATAAAACAAATGTATCGACAGCATGCATGATGACGACTGCAGATACCAAATTATCTTCTGGCGCGCTTCTCCTGCTGAACCCTTGAAGCAGTACGAGTTAACTACCGTAACATACGGCATCACGAGCTCTGCTTATCAAGCTATTCGCGTCATTCACGAGTTAGCTCATTTAAATACTAGCCAATATGCTGAGGCTTTTAGGGTGTTGCTAGCAGATACATTCGTAGATGATATAGTTAGTGGGTCTCATTGTCTTGATTCTGCTCAGCAATTGCAGCAAAATCTGGTTGCCATTCTCTCTCAAGGCGGTTTCGATTTGCGCAAGTGGTCAAGCAACTCAAAGGAGTTCTTGGAATCTTTCACATCCGATCATTGCGAGCCACCATACCGTTTCGAGGAGCAGGGTGACAACATCTTCAAAATTCTGGGCATCGAATGGAACGCAAAAACGGATAGCTTCACCTATCATGTCTCAAACATGAGAAATGTCATGACCATGCGTGACGTTTTGTCTAACATCGCGAGACTTTACGATCCATGTGGATTTTTAGCTCCTGTCACTTTCTACGCCAAGCACCTTATGCAACAGCTGTGGTCAACACAAAAGAGTTGGGACGATCCACTTCCCCCTGCTATACAAAAATCTTGGTCGGAATTAATTGCAGATTTTCCTCATCTTAATAAAGTATCTATATCACGTTATGTTATCACTCATCAACCATTTGTATGTCAATTGCACGGTTTCAGTGATGCGTCCGAGCGCGAGTAAGCATCTTGCAACTATCTGAGAATTCAAAATACTCATGGTAATTATGTTAAATTATTACTTGCAAAATCACGTGTAGCACCACTCAAACAAAAACTAACTATTCCCAAATTGGAATTAAACGGTGCACTTTTACTCTTCTTCTTTTTTTAGTTTAAATGGCTTCCACAAATGAAGTCGGTGATTTTGCCAACGTCGTGGTTTGGGAGACACAGTGGTGTGGTTTACGGTTTTCTTGACTGTGTTCGTAGAAAGGACTGTTTCAGTTGGCTGAGAATGCTAAGAATAAGGACAACACAACACATGTTAGCTTACAATTAAAATAGTGATTGAGTAAAATACATGTATAATAAAATATATGTAACAGGTTGACAGACATGACATAGACAAGGATTTTAAAATGTGGGGAATATATACAAAGGGGGTTATATTTTTATATTATTGACAGCAATAAATTTGCCTAGTATTTTAACTAAGGGGGAGTGAGCCAGTGTTAAAAGAAAAGGAATATTAATAGGTCTGGCAATGTTACGGGGGAGCATATCGGAACTGACAGGTAAAAAATATGTGCTCCAATGTCCCTTCGTCTAGGCCACATTCACAGAGAGAGTGGTCACGAACCCTGATTTTAAAAAGGAAAGTGGGAGTACAAATATGTCCTAGTCGGAGGCGGCATATAACTGAAGTAACCCATTTGTCTAGTGAGCGCTGGGAGAAGAACCATGGTTTGGAGGGTATTTCCGGTTGAATGCTTCCATAATACTTTCCTTTTTCCAGTCTCGTTTTTTGCCATAGGTGGTGCCATGCCTGCATCAACTGAGGCTTTGCCTGTGCTCGTAGATCACGAGCATAACATTTGTTGTGAGTGGTATTGCCCATACTCACCGCTTGTCTGGCCCACGAGTCAACTGACTCGTTCTCTATTATTCCCGAGTGGCTAGGAAGCCATGCTAGAGCAACATTTATACCAGAGTTATGACATTTGTAGAGACTTTGTCGTATTTCCAAGGATATAATAGAGTTGTTTTTGGCATGGAATGGATACTTCTGGATATCTTGTAAGCAACTTAGAGAGTCTGATAAGATTAGGGTTTTATTAATTTGGTGGGATTCTACGTATAAAATAGCTTCTAAAATGGCGATAGATTCTCCAGTAAACATCGATGTGGGAGGAGGACATTTAAAACTGAGCAGTATATTGTATTTAGGGATCCATACTGCAGCGCCAGTGTTGCCGTCATTAGACAACTTGGACGCGTCAGTATAAACGAGAACCCAATCTCTAAAGTATTCCTCTATAATTTTATTAAAATCCTGATTTGCTGTAATACTGTGTTTTTGGATATTAAAGTTTAAATGCACTGTGGGGTGAAAAATTAAGGAATTATCATATTCAAAGATAGGGTTGCGATGTGTTCTAATGATTGAGTAAGGCAAGGCTTTAATTGTGTGGAAACTCTTGAGGATTGGTGAAGGGTCCTTACGTGACCAATAAGTGGATGTGGAGGCTAGGTCTGACAGGGTTTCTAAAGCTGCGACCAAAGGATGGTCATTGTACTGCTAAGCATTTAGGAAGAATCTATCTGAAAGGAATTGTCTGCGAAGTTGGAGGGGAGGATCTACACATTCTACTTGGACTGCATTATTAGCTGAAGATTTCATTGCACCCAGAACTAATCGTAGGCACCTTGATTGGATTCTGTCAAGTTTTGCCAAGGCAATTTTATTGCATGGTTCTAACAGGAAACATCCGTAATCAAAGTGGCTCCTAACTATGGAGTTGTACAGAAGCTTCTGACTATAGGAATGAGACCCCCAACGAACTCCAGAGAGAGCTTTTAGTACGTTAATTGCACTCTCGCACTTATTAGAGATGTAAGTGAGATGATGGAGACCAGAGAGTTTGGAGTCTAGAATGATACCGAGAAATTTAACCTTGTCTTCGGTTTTGATATTCTAACCATTAAGAGAAAGATTTATGTGGGAATTTGTCTCTTCCGGGTGAATACAACAGCCGTACACTTGGGTATGGAGAGAGCTAGGCCGTGATCCTCTAGCCATTGGTGTAAATACCACAAGGCATTGTTGAGGCCAGAGACATTTCCAGGCAGGGAGTCGGAGGCTAAATATAAGGCAATGTCATCAGCATATTGTAATGTATTGCAGAAGCAGGAAACAGATGTCTCTAGATCGCAGGTGTAAAGATTAAAAAGGAGGGGGCTCAAGACGGAGCCCTGAGGAAGGCCTTTCCAGACCAGTCTTGGAGGATGGAGAGAGCCTTGAAAGCGCAAAGAGATAGATCGGGCCATAAAGAGATTGCATATGATGTTGGTCAGTCTCGCAGGGATACTCAGCTTTTGCAATTTTTGCCTGAGTATTGGAAACTGGACATTGGCATACGCAGATGAGACGTCTAGAAAGACGCATGTAAGATGCTGATTTTTGGAGAAAGCAAGTCGGACTTCGTTGGTGAGAATACTGAGACTATCAATAGTTCCTCTTCCACGTCTGAAACCAAATTGGCTGTTCGGTAGAAGGTTTTTGTTCTCTAAAATCCATTCAACCCTATTTTTTAATAAGTGTTCCATGATTTTTGCCAGAACCGAGGAGAGAGCAATAGGTCTGTACGAACTGGCATCAGATGCATCCTTACCAGGCTTTAGAATGGGAACTGTAATGGAATGGAACGATTTGGGTTTTCCAAGATTCCGGTACATTTCCTGATACAAAGACGGCATTCAATATTTCCAGTAACTTCTTTTTCGCAGAAATAGAGATCCTATGGATGAAGGAGTAAGGAATACCATCTATACCAGGGGATGAGTCTCTAAGGTGGTCGAGGGCGCAGCACAGCTCCGGGTATGAGAAGGGTTCGTCCATTCTATCATTTGACACAGGAGGGGATGGTATCTGGAGGCAGTCTTGGGAGGGGGCTAAATTGTTATACAGATTATTAAGCCATGGCAGAGGGTCATTAGAAGTAGCTTCCACGCTAGTACATCCCTTGCGGAATGAATTTAACTTCTTCCAGACTACTGAAGGATGTGTTCGTGGGGATAATGATTCGCAAAATTTAGTCTTCTCGTGCTAGCACAAATTTTGCGAAAAGCCAAATAGTTGTCCATCGTTAAGTTTAGTGCGTATGTGTTTTCGGCATTTTTTCGCTGTTTAACGGATGTGGTGCACTCATTATCCCACCATGGCGGAGAGCAGATTTTATTTATTGTCGAGTTTTTTATGGGAATTGAGTCGTCAGCAGCTGACAGAAGACATGATATAAATTGGTCATAATTTTTGCAAAAAGTTGTGATCATTGTTTGGAGGGAGGAGAGACAGTTTTTGGTCAAGGAGAGCAGAATACTTTTCCCAGTCAGCATTAGGTAGTCGGTATTTCAGAAGAGGTTGGGGAGCAGGGGTGCGAGGGAAAGTGGAGTTAATTATGGTAATATTTATGGGTAGATGATCACTACCATATGAGTTTGGAAGGATGTGCCAGATAAGTTTATTTATCAAAGTTGGGGATGCAAGACTAAGGTCAGGGGAGCTCGGGTTTTGGGTAGGGGCAATGCGTCGAGTGGCGGATCCATCATTCAGTACGCAGAGATTCAGGTCATCAAGTAAGTCCAGCAGGAAAGAGGACACTGGGTCATTAAAATGTGATCCCCACATAGTGTGATGGCAATTAAAATCACCAAGCACAATGAGAAGGGAAGGGATAGTACCTAGGATAGTTTGCAACTCTGAGATGTGAGAATAATTTGGGTGAGGGATATAAATAGACACAAAAGAGGTATTGAGTACTCTTACTGCTACAATTTGAAAGCCAGGGCTATGAGAAGGTATGGTAATTTGTGTAAAGGGAAAGGATTTACATACTAATAGGGCGGAACCCGCCCAACCATCATCCCTGTCATCCCGGAGAACAGCATGACCTGATACCCGAAATGGAGTGCCAGGTTTTAGCCATGTCTCCGAGATGGCAGTGACAACAGGTTTATAGTGATTAAGAAGGTAAATGAGATCAGACTTCTTGTTTCTGATACTTCTAACGTTCCACTGTAGGACCGACTGGTCCATTATTAACAGTTAACTTTGTGAGGAGCTGTTGAACAAGGATAGGGACATTGGGCGGTAAGGCTTCAGAGAATTTAGAGATAATGTTTATTAAGGTGCAAGTAAGTAATTCAATTAAGTTATCATTAGGAATGGGAAGAGGAGTGGTTTCTATGTACTTCTGGTTGTCTGTTAAAGCGTTGTCTGTTAAAAAACCATTTGGTTGTGTACATTTTGGAGTTTGTGTAATGTTGTTGTGGGCAACTGCATCATAGGATTTGCCGAGAGGAGCATGAGGACGAGGGGAGTTATAAACTGTTTTGCGATAAGATACTGTTTTCTGAGGGGAGGAGTAGGGTGACTGCAGAGGGGGTGGTCATATAATTGGGCGATAGAAGCCTGCGAGGGATACATATTGGACTGAGGTGTAGATATCATATCAGCATAGGAGCGCCTAGGGAGAGGGAATCTGGCTGAAGCTTCCATGTGGCTAATGTTATATTCAACCATAACAATTTTTATATTTTTTTGTCTAATGTGTTCAGGCCATGTCGAATTATTGCCTATATGGTTACCATCACATAAAACACAGAATGGTTGCTCTTCATTTTTGTCACAAGCATCACCGGAGTGTTGACCTCCACATTGGAAACATCTAGGCTGTGATCGGCACTGTGTTTTTATGTGACGAAACCTGCAGCAGTTACGGCACTGGATGGTAGGGAGATTGTAGGGAGTCACTGGGAGAGAGGTATAGAAAGAATAAACTTTTTCAGGAAGAATTTGTCCCTCAAAGGTTAGTACTACTGTAGTGGATGGATCTCAGCTAACACTATTGTCTGGTTTTCGAGATTTAATATTAAGCCTTCTGGCTCTAATAACTTGACCACAACTAGTTGGGGATTTTAAGTTTTCAAGTAGTTCTTCCAATGTCCAGTCTGTGGGAATAT